TTGATCACACGGCCAAAGCAAAGTGATGATCCATAAACTGTTATTACCCGCCTATTACCGGGATTATGTGGTGGTATTTTGGTTTTTCTGTATATTATATTTCTAAAAGCGGGACTTTGATTCTTGTTGGATTTTTAAAATGCAGCACTTATAAAAGCTGCTATAAGGTGAACCTTTTTTCTACTGTTTAAGGCTTTTCTGCGGTAAACCTACCATTCAAAAGAAATGCGACCGAATCTGAATTGTTAACGGAAAGCATGATCTGATCAAAGCGCTAACTCTTGAAATAATTTTCAAAGTACTAATGTAGTTTGCAAAATATAAATAACAACTTCGAAACAATTGTTAACTAGATAAAGTATAATACACTGGGTTTTGCTTGCTTGCAATTGACTGATATCTAGATCACTAGGTGTTAAACTCTTGGAATTGATGTAGCCGATTATCCCACAATATAACCTTTTATTATTTAATTGATTTGCTGCAGAGACAGACGAAATTATAGCCGTTGGCCCCACAGATAAAGAAGAAGCTACTCAGAGAATAACTACGGGCTTTTGCTTCTATCATCAGCATCATTAACTTGGTATATCCGTTGCAGCCAGAATTAGCCGTCCTTCATCGAGACACTTGGTGGTTCTTCAACAATGTTCTCCTGCGGAAAAGACTGTGGCAAACTAGGCAATGCTTGTACAAGGCAAAGAAGGCAAGCAAAGTTAGTTGGCAGAAGGTGGCATTTGCATTTTAATTCAAAGTTGTGTACCAAACTTCGGTTTAGTAGTCCGGTATTACGACATTCTATCACTCTCTGATTTCGAATGAATTCCATTTTTCGATCTTTGTCATATTAGAGCATAGTGTTAGTGTTCTACACCATATATAAATTGGGATATGTTTTTGAGGCTAAAGCAATTTATTCACATTTATGGGCAGTGACTTTCAGTACAAATAATAACCTAGGCAATATATTTCTTTTGGAAAATAAAGGCCTTTTGACTCTCGGGAAACACGATTGAGTTTGCTACTTCTAGACAGGAACATAATACATTTTTATTCATTTTCTTTTCTCTGAAGGTGTTTTTACTGTAAGATTTCAATATAACTTTGTTAAGTCACTAAAACTAGTCATTAAAATCTACAGTGCGATCTTCTTACATGGAATTAACCCAATTGATGTTTAGCTGTCACACAGGCCCTGAGATGCTGTTCCGCCTTTGAAAGCATACACCATTGACGTAAAATTATTTTGAAAAGCACCGACAGAATTTGATATGATGTCTAAAGGCGTTGGTATGTTGAGCGTCAAAGGACTTATCAATAATGTGATGGCCTACGAAATCACACCCCTTGCATTATCTAACCACGCAATCATGCGGTTAACGCCTGCTATCAGCGCAAGCAGAACTCACATTGGTTTCGAAAGGTTTGCAAATTTCTTGCTAAGCAGTCGACGCAACTCTTGTTTTTACGCCTCAAGAGAATATCTTTGGAGTTATTCAGTAAGCAATGGTTATAAAAACAAATTGCCTTCATTTAATACGAGAAGTATTTTAAAAAAGTACGTCTTTCGGAACAACAAATACACATCATTTCAAACCTTGTTATTCCTTTCCCATAAGCTTTTAAAAACTCGTCATTAATAAAAGAAGAAACCATTTACTATCAAGTTATTTTAACAGACAACAAATCTTGCCATAGTTTAGTTTGATCATTTACAGAGTCGCACTTTTGATGTCTGGCACCGCTGGTAAGAAAGATTTTATTAACTGAATTCATCGTTATTCTTACCCTGAAAATCGTACCTTGACTTTTAAATAAAAAGTGGAAAGTCAAGTTCCACTAAAATCAATTATCACTTTAATTATTTGGGACCTTACACGTTGGCCGAAGGGGGAGATGTCGGATACAGTGCTTCATAAATGCTTGAATTGATGAGACCTGTGTATTCGTTATACGGATCATTAACCAAGATATTTTTTGATGCTTAAGCTGCACTTGCTCAATCCAAATTCACGTTATGACCCACGCCCTTATTTTGTACATAAAGAGGTATCCCAGAGAAGAGCATAAAATCACTTTGACACTACTTCATTATCAACTGCAATATCAACTTGCATTCTGTGCCTTCAACTTGTCATTCAATTATATCACACGTTACCCCATAGCAGAGCTCCTATCCGTGGCACTAGTGCTCTGCTGCCCAGGATGGTGATTGATGTAGCAGTTGGATCTTCGGGCCTACAGCATTTTATGAGCACAAGTATATATATTAAACACGGACTGCTGAAAGAAGATGGCAGTCTTAATTCTACCGCAATAGTAAAATAACTGCGTCTAATGAAGGAATGTGATCAGCATGCTGAACGACAACTGAAATAATAACAGCTTTGAGTCGTGAGTAAACCTAATGCTAGTGGTGTTGTTGCTGCCTCACAGTCACGTGATGACAACTTTCAGACATGGAACAACCTAAGCGGTCAGTGGAATCGATACAATTTCACTATACCAATAGTCGTTTGACACTTACCAGCTATCCTTTTGTTTAAGCATGCTTCTGTGGTACGGATTAGTGTCAGTGTATAAATATTCCAGCTCCTAAAATGGGAGAAAAGCAGTTTAATGAGCATCAGTAATTTCAATGCTTATATAAAAATGTTAGGCCAGAAAGTCTTTGAAAATTGCAATCTAATATTGAAAAACTCAGTGGAGTAGAGTTCTGGCTTTTCTGATCCAAATAGGCGATCAAACAGTTAAAGCCAATCCTTGAGGTCCTTTGATGCAATAAATACTTGAGCTTGGAAAGTTTTCCTTGCTTTTTAGTAACAAAGAGGGTCACTAACTTTATGTTTTCCTAAGACTTACAATTTTGTATAAACTTATAACAGAAAGAATAAGATAGCTTAATATGCGGGTCCAGTGCGGCAGTTGTTCTTTGTGTAAAAGTTAATAGCAGAACTTAAAATGCGATCAGCGGGCCAGATGTTCGGTTGTACCCGTATCTTCTTAAGAGTTCACGTGGTAACTGAAGCTCTTTTCTCATACTGGTCTGCAATTTTCTAAAGTTTTTTTGTAGTTAGCAACTTTTTCAAATAGGTATTTGGTTTGCTGGTTTTAAACCATCGCATGGAAAGTGAATGCTAATGCCACACGAATTATGTCAAAAATTATAAAAGATTAGTAAGTAATACAAAAAATCATATAATACGTTGATGACAAATGGTCTTGCCACGCCTATTTGTTGCAATCTTGAGGAACGTCCTACAAATTAGCCCAAAATATTCTTTATCATTTGAGAGACTAAGCTATAAGACAGAATGGACGAAAGTATGTTGTCTTAAAGCAATTATCAAATTAACAGAAAGGTGTAAGAAAAGGTAGCCTTTGTGTTAAATCACTGTATTTTCGTGGACCTTGGCAAATATTTTCTAAATAAATTTTTCCGTAAAAATCTACTTACTGAATTGGCTTTTACCACATTTGCCTAAAACAAGGGTTTCAACCATGACAGAAACGGTCCAAAGCATCAATGAACAGCGTGTTCCAAGAGAGTATCTATGACAATGAGTGAAAACTTCTACTTTGGGTACACGTTTGGAGTAATCACAGTTGAATATGTAGATCATGAGATAGCTGAGTAATGACCAAGATGACTGGAGGGAAAATGACCATTATTTTGATACCAACAACAAATCCGAGAGGGTGGGAAGCGGAGAATTCTGCAGATTGCCTTTACAACTAATGAGAGCCTGGAGTACTATGAAAATTCTTATCCAAAAGAACCTTAATGGAGACTGGGCGCTTTATACTTCCGCTTTAATTCAGTAAAACCCGTAATACCCATTCCAATATTAGGCTTTATCGTAGGACTAAACTCGATATTATATGTAGTGAAGAGACATCACTTCTGAATTAATGAAGAGTCCCACCTTGAGATATTACGCTAGGTTAGATTAAAATCCCTAGCTTCCGTAAAACTAAACATCCATTGGCAAACTGAAACCCAAATTTACCCAGGAAATTCCCTTACTTCTAAAGTTGCATTGGAATTAAACTAAAAGCACAAGACGGAAGTCTTTGCTAAAGATCAAGTATTTTTTATTACTAACTCATTTTCCACAGCTTGCACAATCAGAGCAATCGCATTTCTCACCCTTGGTGCAGGCCTCACAGCAGTTGCATCCGTCGTGTTCTAAAACAGGTAGAGAAGAAAGCAATCCAAAATGAATAAATCATGATCAAATTAAAGACATCTGTAATAAGTTTATTGCTTACCAACCATTCCGTTCGTTTCAAATCAACCGATGGATCGCAGTGGAGAATGTTGGTTTATTTATGCCCGATGATGTGACCTTGCGCTCAGCATGGAACCAATGAAATGTGCAATCAGATGAGACCATTCTGATTGGTTGAGAGAGAAGCAAAACGAATTTCTTCAAAAGTACAACTGGCACGCCGTTTGTACCTCGCCACTAGTTACAGGAAATAACATGTCAATATATTAACATTGTTTGAATCTGAGGAGTGCAATAGATGAGCATATATTAGTCAAGCGAAACTAAAATCGACTAAGTAAATGATGATGTTTTGATCGTCTGTAAAAGTTACCACGAAAGTTGTGATAGAGTATTTTAAAAGGCCTTGTAAAGATTTTTCTTAGTGGCTCGTTAACGAAAATCTTATCTTCTCTGTTTCGCTAACGAAAACACGTCTCTTCAAGACTAGAGGTAATTTTTGGGCTGTACCACTATTTTATGTACTACTTAAAGTACGCCAGTTCTACTTTATTTTTATTTGTTTAAATTTATTGAAAGTATATGAAAGGAGCGGCTTGTAAGCGTATTAATCCGCAAACATTATGATGACCGAATAGAAGAGCTTTTGAGAAGTTACAAAATCCTCTCTTTACTCCACATTCTCTAACTACGAAAAGAAGTTTCGCCTAGAAAACGGAGCCACTCAGCAAAAAAATTACAATTTGATTTGCACAACCACGAATCGAACGAGAAACCAATACATTTGTAACACTTTTCCCCTCGATACAGTAAGG